AAATTATCGTTGTAGTTTTGCATTTTCAGTGATGATTGTACACACACTTATGTAGATCACTGGTTGGGATACTCATTTACTATCCTTGTGGAATCCTAAAGATTAAATCTGTACAGTTGTCGCTAAGTGTGAAAAATGGACCTCTCAAAGATTTATAGTCTTATAAACTATTTGTAGGGGACTTAACAAACTTATTGGATAACGAATGATACGAAATATTAGAATAAAAATCCGAATGCAATATTATATTTATAGGAGTACAAATAATCAGTTATAAAAGTTAGTAGTCACCTGAAAATACAGCTACAATCCACTGGTACAAACTAAAAATATGATCAACAGATCTGTTTCATTGTTGGCGTCTAGTTTCAAAATAAATGATAAAAAAAATTGTGTGTATTATCAAGAGTGTTTACTTTAAGCAATATATTCATATTATTTTCTTTTAATATAGATTGTATTTTATCGTAATGGTGAGTGTATGGGAACAGCTTTCACGAATATCTACGCAGGTAGCTATTATCCAGCAATATCAATATTCAGGGCAGCCACAGTTTCTGTCAATTTTGGTCCATCCTTCAAACATCCTCCAAATGATTTTCCAGATTGGCAACCGGTAAGTGTTAGTAAAAAATAGACAACTTGTAGGTTAAGCTTTTTTTTAAATTTGGAATGCTATTTAAAATGAGAGTGGATTAGTTCAGTTAGTTCAGAGATGAATAAATCAATGCAAAATTTTTCACTGTGTTGAATCCGTTGAAATTGTTGCATTTCGAAGCATCATGTAAAAAAAACGGAATGAAAATAAAATAATGCTACAATAAAAAATTTGAGTGTGGACAACAAAAAAATCCGTGAAGCTTTTGCGGAGTATTCTTTGTGTAAGCGATATTGAGGTTAGACATCGGTCCACTGCTAGGTAAGGAGGGGAAATCAATCGATGGGACTGTGAAGCTACATCGACTGAGAGAGATAGTTAGGACTTGTGTTACGCATACATGCCTAGCCATTCATCGCATTCCTCGACTACGGACAATGTTAGTTGGCATAGGATGAGTCAGGTTGGGGAAGAGCTAGTGGTTGTCAAACCCAAAAATGACCTTATCAGTCCATTAAATCCACAACAGTTAAGTTAGTTTAAGCCACCCAGCCAGCCACTTAGGAAGGTTTAGACTTCCAGGCCGTTTGAGGGAGGAGGCCTTCAGGATGGTCGAAACCAATGGTTGGAGACAATCGGTGATGTGACTCAAAATCGTTTTCAATGGCTGGCGCAGATGCATCCACTCCTGGTGACTTACAATTCCAATAAATCTATAATGTTCTTGTAAACACTAGTCTATACGGAACATAAATTATTATTATTATTTCTATTCTTTTTGCCTTATATCTCTATGTTGAATTTCGTTTAAGTTGCTTCTTTTGCTTTTTATGCTACATGAAGTGTGGCGACTCGAACTGCTGCACATCTGTGCAAAGTCCTTTGTTGAAACTAGTCAGTCAGTCAGCAGAGTTCTGCGTGTTTATATGTTTGTTCAGGGTAAACGTAGTCGGCCTAAAAGTTTCTTTCATGTGAGAAGTGTAGAAATGTTTTAGTTTATACTGTACAGAGAAGGCTAATGGTAGCTAGGACATAAGAAACAGTTGGCTAAGTCAAATTTGAGTGTAATGTGTCTACTCACTTTACCTGCTGCAATCAAGCTGAGGTCGAATGTATTTGAAACGTAAAGCACGTATTCACATGTGGTTTTAAAGACTGTGTCAATTTGTACTGTTGCGTATATCTGAAATATTGTGCGTTGGAAACTTAGTCACCTCAGTCCAATTCTTCAAACACTTGCAAATCATTTCACTATTGACGTTCATCTGACATTATTTCTTTCATTTTTATCCAACCTAACACCATTATTTATTGAGGATAGGTAAAGTTACTTCTAGAAATCTATTTAAGTAAACTATTTTGGAAAGAATCAATCTCTAAATTAGTTAAGAAATGTATGTCTCGAGCTTTTCTTCATACGAACAAGACAATTATCATGTGTTTAGGTAATTGAAACGACTTCCAAGAAAGAAGGACGATAAAGTCTTTAAATTTTCGTTTGACGATGCACAGACTGCCTGGTTGCAGTCGCCGCGACTCTAAAAAAGTCGTTTTTAATGGTGCAGATGCATTTACCCTTCAGGTGAGCATAGAGAAAACATAGGTGATGAAGATTTCTGGCCAGAAGCAACAACAATAATCAGCATAAATGAGAAGAATCTGAAAGAAGCAACCTCCTTTACCTACCTACCTACCTACGTACCCATCGTTTCATATACTGGCGGACGTTACGGATGGGGATATCAAAGCAAGGATCATCGGGAAAGCAACACAAGCTTTCATTACTCTCAAGTCTGTGTGGAGATCAACAGCACTCAACATCAAAAATAATATCCGGATTTTCAACTCCAATGTGAAGTCAGTCAGTACTACTTAACATATGGATCGGTGACTTGCATTGGGCGTCATGAGGAGCACCTCAAACAAACTACAGACCTTAATCAACAGCTGTCTTCGCTCAATACCACTCAAGATCAGATGGCCGGTCAGAAAAGATCAGCAATACGCATCTCTGGGAGCAAACGAGCCCAGCAGGAACCTATTGTGCAACAAATATGCAGGAAGAAATGGAGGTGGATTGGATAGGCCATACTCTGAGGAAACAAACCAACAAGTGACATCAGTAGACAAGCCATTGCTGAAGTGTAACCCGAAAGGGAAGCAGCGAGTTGGTCGTCAGTGTGAAGGTGACTTGGAGGAGGTCATGTGAAGAGTATATGAAGGCATGTGGATGGACTTGGAGCCAGGTGAAAACGTTGGCAGAGAACCGAACGCAATGGAGACGCTCGGCTGAAGCCCTATGTTCCTCTAGGGATTAGAGGAAACAATAATAATAATCTTCTTAATCGGTACATTTCCCTTCACCATAGTACCTTTGAATTTTTTCCCCTACCTTTATGTGGTAAGCTGAACTCTGGTGCACTGTTTTCTGTAAAGTTCTACGTTGAGATTTCAATACAGACCAGTTTAGATCACTGAGATCTCTCCGTCTCTCTTTCCCTGGCAACCTGGAGATGTGATTGGTCGATGTGCTTGGTTTCCCAATCTGTCTGTCTGTTTTCGACATAGAACTTTGCACAAATGTGCGGAAGTTCAAGTCGCCACATTCCGTGCAGCACGCGAAGCAAGAGAAGAAAGTACAAGAAAAGCATAATAGAGACAGTGAGCAGAGGTGTGAGACAAAGGAGGAGTAATAACGAAGAACAAAACAGTTTCATCGGAGATCACAAGTTACAAGGAGTGGTTTCCCAATATTTCAAATCAATCAGTAGTATCGACCAAATGTATATCATCTCATCTATTCATCAGTTAACTCCGACACCGTATACTCTATGTCTATGTTTTTAATTATTTTGTCAACCCATTCTGAAAAAAATTAAAACCTCTTATTTAATTATTGAATTGAATTTTTGATTTTCCCGTCGATTGATTGGACCGAAGTGCTCGGTCTCAGGTTGACATGTCGGCTTCTTGTGCAGATTCTTCGACGATGTCCACTGCTAGCCACCATCCACCAATTGTATACTCTTATTTATTTATTTATATTTCTTTTCAGATGTCCGCTCGTGTTGTAAGCGCTTCTGTTGAACAGACTCTTTCCGATTTGATCTATTTAGTAGAAAAAGAAGGATTTATTGAAGGGACACTCAATTCATGTGTTCCAAGATTCCGTTAACTGTTTAAAGAAATCATTACTATAATATATGACTTTATTATAAACTATATATATTCCATCTCTTGTGTTTCGAGAAACAACAAATATTTTTACCTTGAATTCATCATCCATCCATGCTGTTGTTGACAACAAACTGAATGAAGTACATTCATGTCAGGTTTTTGCAGTATTCTCATTTGCAAATCTCATGAGTTTATGTACAATTAACTTTTAGCTATATATTATTATTATTATTTGGTTTTTTTGACGCACTTTTTTATCTTTGTGAAATGTTGTAGCACGTAACAGTATTTATTGTACAGATGTATATGTATATCTGCACTTCTCTCTTTTTTTCTATCCAACCTCACTGGAGGAATGAATATGAATACTGCATAAAAATAAAATGAAGGGATATTTTAACCTTTCAAAACTTCATTGTTGTGTGTGTCGAAATTTGTTTGCTTTGTTTTTTTTTTTTGTGGAAACTGTCATTTTAGTGGTGTACTGTTTCAATATTTCTTTTTGTGCACAAGTCGATTGCTTGTCATCTCTTCGGTTACACTATCAACTATAATATGGTGGAATCCTTGCAGTACTGGCTGGCTGTTTTACACATCTATGTAACATCTATGTAATATGTGATTAGCTGTTCGTATTTATTTGATGATTGTGTTCACTAATTTGATTAGGATTACAAATTCTAATGTCTCGTTCACTGACGAGAATATATACACTGCAGTTTTCTACGTTTGTTAACAAATCAAAAATATTTGAAATATTTTGAAAGTACAATGTTGTTACCACTGTTCTCTGTCAGCTTCTTTCAACAATGAATAAAAAAATAAAGTGTTGGCCTATTGATTCGTTTAGTTGTTTTTTTTCATTCCTTTTGCGTTTCGAGTGGAACATATGTCTTCAAGCTTATAAATCTCGGTGACGCTGGTAGACTGACTGGCTGACTGGGTTCAACAAAGAACTTTTCACCGATGTGCAGCTCGTCGAGCTGCTACACTCCATGTAACACACAAAGCAAGAGAAGAAAGTAAAAATCAATGCAAAATAGAGACAGTTTACAGCGTTATGAGACAAAATGAATAGTAATAACGAAGAACAATACAGTTCCATTGGAAATTATAAGTCACAAGGAGTGGATGCATCTGCGCCATTCAGAACGACGATTTCGAATCATATCACCCATTGTCTCCAGCCATTGGTTTTTATTATTATTATTTCCTTTAATTCCTAGAGGAACATAGGGCTTCAGCCGAGCGTCTCCATTGCGTTCGGTTCTCTGCCAACGTTTTCACCTGGCTCCAAGTCCATCCACATGCCTTCATATACTCTTCACATGACCTCCTCCAAGTCACCTTCACACTGACGACCAACTCGCTGCTTCCCTTTCGGGTTACACTTCAGCAATGGCTTGTCTACTGATGTCACTTGTTGGTTTGTTTCCTCAGAGTATGGCCTATCCAATCCACCTCCATTTCTTCCTGCATATTTGTTGCACAATAGGTTCCTGCTGGGCTCGTTTGCTCCCAGAGATGCGTATTGCTGATCTTTTCTGACCGGCCATCTGATCTTGAGTGGTATTGAGCGAAGACAGCTGTTGATTAAGGTCTGTAGTTTGTTTGAGGTGCTCCTCATGACGCCCAATGCAAGTCACCGATCCATATGTTAAGTAGTACTGACTGACTTCACATTGGAGTTGAAAATCCGGATATTATTTTTGATGTTGAGTGCTGTTGATCTCCACACAGACTTGAGAGTAATGAAAGCTTGTGTTGCTTTCCCGATGATCCTTGCTTTGATATCCCCATCCGTAACGTCCGCCAGTATATGAAACGATGGGTACGTAGGTAGGTAGGTAGGTAAAGGAGGTTGCTTCTTTCAGATTCTTCTCATTTATGCTGATTATTGTTGTTGCTTCTGGCCAGAAATCTTCATCACCTATGTTTTCTCTATGCTCACCTGAAGGGTAAATGCATCTGCACCATTAAAAACGACTTTTTTAGAGTCGCGGCGACTGCAACCAGGCAGTCTGTGCATCGTCAAACGAAAATTTAAAGACTTTATCGTCCTTCTTTCTTGGAAGTCGTTTCAATTACCTAAACACATGATAATTGTCTTGTTCGTATGAAGAAAAGCTCGAGACATACATTTCTTAACTAATTTAGAGATTGATTCTTTCCAAAATAGTTTACTTAAATAGATTTCTAGAAGTAACTTTACCTATCCTCAATAAATAATGGTGTTAGGTTGGATAAAAATGAAAGAAATAATGTCAGATGAACGTCAATAGTGAAATGATTTGCAAGTGTTTGAAGAATTGGACTGAGGTGACTAAGTTTCCAACGCACAATATTTCAGATATACGCAACAGTACAAATTGACACAGTCTTTAAAACCACATGTGAATACGTGCTTTACGTTTCAAATACATTCGACCTCAGCTTGATTGCAGCAGGTAAAGTGAGTAGACACATTACACTCAAATTTGACTTAGCCAACTGTTTCTTATGTCCTAGCTACCATTAGCCTTCTCTGTACAGTATAAACTAAAACATTTCTACACTTCTCACATGAAAGAAACTTTTAGGCCGACTACGTTTACCCTGAACAAACATATAAACACGCAGAACTCTGCTGACTGACTGACTAGTTTCAACAAAGGACTTTGCACAGATGTGCAGCAGTTCGAGTCGCCACACTTCATGTAGCATAAAAAGCAAAAGAAGCAACTTAAACGAAATTCAACATAGAGATATAAGGCAAAAAGAATAGAAATAATAATAATAATTTATGTTCCGTATAGACTAGTGTTTACAAGAACATTATAGATTTATTGGAATTGTAAGTCACCAGGAGTGGATGCATCTGCGCCAGCCATTGAAAACGATTTTGAGTCACATCACCGATTGTCTCCAACCATTGGTTTCGACCATCCTGAAGGCCTCCTCCCTCAAACGGCCTGGAAGTCTAAACCTTCCTAAGTGGCTGGCTGGGTGGCTTAAACTAACTTAACTGTTGTGGATTTAATGGACTGATAAGGTCATTTTTGGGTTTGACAACCACTAGCTCTTCCCCAACCTGACTCATCCTATGCCAACTAACATTGTCCGTAGTCGAGGAATGCGATGAATGGCTAGGCATGTATGCGTAACACAAGTCCTAACTATCTCTCTCAGTCGATGTAGCTTCACAGTCCCATCGATTGATTTCCCCTCCTTACCTAGCAGTGGACCGATGTCTAACCTCAATATCGCTTACACAAAGAATACTCCGCAAAAGCTTCACGGATTTTTTTGTTGTCCACACTCAAATTTTTTATTGTAGCATTATTTTATTTTCATTCCGTTTTTTTTACATGATGCTTCGAAATGCAACAATTTCAACGGATTCAACACAGTGAAAAATTTTGCATTGATTTATTCATCTCTGAACTAACTGAACTAATCCACTCTCATTTTAAATAGCATTCCAAATTTAAAAAAAAGCTTAACCTACAAGTCTATTTTTTACTAACACTTACCGGTTGCCAATCTGGAAAATCATTTGGAGGATGTTTGAAGGATGGACCAAAATTGACAGAAACTGTGGCTGCCCTGAATATTGATATTGCTGGATAATAGCTACCTGCGTAGATATTCGTGAAAGCTGTTCCCATACACTCACCATTACGATAAAATACAATCTATATTAAAAGAAAATAATATGAATATATTGCTTAAAGTAAACACTCTTGATAATACACACAATTTTTTTTATCATTTATTTTGAAACTAGACGCCAACAATGAAACAGATCTGTTGATCATATTTTTAGTTTGTACCAGTGGATTGTAGCTGTATTTTCAGGTGACTACTAACTTTTATAACTGATTATTTGTACTCCTATAAATATAATATTGCATTCGGATTTTTATTCTAATATTTCGTATCATTCGTTATCCAATAAGTTTGTTAAGTCCCCTACAAATAGTTTATAAGACTATAAATCTTTGAGAGGTCCATTTTTCACACTTAGCGACAACTGTACAGATTTAATCTTTAGGATTCCACAAGGATAGTAAATGAGTATCCCAACCAGTGATCTACATAAGTGTGTGTACAATCATCACTGAAAATGCAAAACTACAACGATAATTTCATATTACATGGAGGATTTCATTATCAGCTGACATCAGTTAGAGAGCCACTGGGAAACCTGCATGGAGTACTGGACAGCTGCTTCCCCCGTCCTAGTTTGGGACTCTTTGACAGTACACACCCACCGGGGTTCGAACCCAGCACCTTCTGGTTACAAGGTGAGCTTGTAGACCATTGAGCCACTGGGACCCAATCCAATGGACCTTGAGTACTAACTTCTGCCAATTCATGACATAGCGCGACCATTTCGCAATATCTTCTTCGATGACTTGCTGCCTCATCTTCAACCTGCTGTACTCTACTGGTCACGTCACGGCTTCCCACTAGAACCCCAGGTTAAGTGCCTGAATAGAGCCAGCCACTAGTGAGCATCAGATTAATTTTCAAGTATTGGTTTTGTAGGGATTTTGTTTGATTGCATGGAGGATTTCATCATGAGCGTACTGCTGAAGAGTCCCAAACTAGGACGAAAACAGCAGCTGTCCAGTACTCCCAGGTTTTCCAGTGGTTCTCTAACTGCTGTCAGCTCATGATGAAATCCTCCATGCAATCAAACAAAATCCCTACAAAACCAATACTTGAAAATTTGATATTACGCAGTGAAATTCGAACAAATGGACACCAGATGTGTAGACACATATTAAATAAAATAATTTTAAATTGTCGTGCTGCCTGTAAACAAGGAATTATATTTCCAGATAAACACTTGGAAAGAATTACAGGAAGCTGATGAATTAATGACCGATAAGGAGACTCTAGAAGATATGGATTTCGCAGACAATATATGTGTCTGATGTCGAGGATTTGTAGGCGAAAACCAACAAACTGGCTGAAGAGACAGTGAAAACATGACTGTAGGTGGACATAGAGAAGACGGAAGTGATTAACATAACCAACCGACAGCAGCAGCAACAACAACAACCATCAAAAGAAGAGATTACACAGAGGTTACCTCCTTCACTTTTCTAGGAAGCACCGTTTCAACTATAGAAATTTGGAATGAATGAAGATGACAAAGGAGGCTAGAATCGGAAGGACCTTCGTCAATCTGACATCAGTTTGGAAATCCTCTGCACTTCACCTCAGCATAAAGAACAAGATTTCTCAGGATTTTCAACATGAATGTGAAATCAGTCAGTCAGTTCTTCTATATACGGGTCAGAAACTTAGCCAGCATGTCACGAAAAGTATTTCCGACAAGTCACTGCAGATGACTGGTGGTTTGCATCTTACACTGTTTAGTACCAAACAGTCACTGCAGACTTTTATCTGTCTGCATACTGAAAATCAAGAGGCCAGTCGGCTGACCAGAAAGAATTAGCTAAAAGAAACTTTCACTGGCTGGCTGGCTGGGAACAAACCAACTAGAAGCTAATCGCCCAACAAATGTGTATGACAAAATGAAGATGGATCGGGCATTGATTGAGGAGAACACCGAATGATATCGCACGCAATACACATGCCATCGCATTGCTCGAGTACAATCCTAATAGGAAGCGACGAGTTGCATGTTGGTTTGAGGGTGACATGGAAGAGATCGTGTGGCTAGGAAGAGCAAAGAGATTATGGGCAATCGTGGACCCACCTGAAGAGGACGCCAGAAAATAGAACAAAGTGGAGGTGTTGTTGAAGCCCTATGTTCCACTCGGAACCCAAAGCAATAATAATAATAATAATGTCTGTCTGTTTTCGACATAGAACTTTGCACAAATGTGCGGAAGTTCAAGTCGCCACATTCCGTGTAGCACGCGAAGCAAGAGAAGAAAGTACAAGAAAAGCATAATAGAAACAGTGAGCAGAAGTGTGAGACAAAGGAGGAGTAATAACGAAGAACAAAACAGTTTCATTGAAGATCATAAGTCACAGGGAGTGGATGCATCTGCGCCACTGTGAACGGTTTTGAGCCATGTCACCAATTGTTTCCAACCATAGATTTTTACCGTCCCGAGGACCCCAGCCTGGAAGTCTACACCTTTCTACGTGGCTTAGACCAACTGTTGTGGATTTCATTGACTGGTGAAGCCAAGTTTTTGTTTGACCGCCGCTAGCTTTTTTCCAGTCTGACCCTATATCCGCTAACATAGCTCGTCGAGGGAGGCGATGGCTTGGCATACGTAACACATGTCCTAACCATCTCAGTCTTTGTAGTTTCACGACTTCGTCGATTGATTTCCCCTGTTTACCTAGAACTCTGCGCCTAACCTCAATGTTGCTCACCTTATTATGCCACTTTACACGGGAAATAGAACGCAGGCACCTATGATCAAAGACAGCTAGTCTTTTCATGTCTTCCACTCTCAGTGGCCAGGTCTCACAACCATACAGGAGGACGGAGCGGACTGATGAGCAGTACACCCGCCCTTTGGTCGATAGTCGAACATCTCGTCTACGCCAGAGTCGGCGTAGTAAAATGATGAATTAGAGATTGAATCCTTATTTTATTAATAACTATAATTTTCAGGTTTTATTATTTCATCACTGACGTCTTATAGGAATTAATCCGATTTTTTTGCCTTCGCATATACAAAACATGACAAGAAACAAATGCAATGAAGTGTGTATGAACCAGCTGCGTAGAAAATTTATAACATCGTCATGAACACGATTATATATATAGTTTCACTTTCAAAGATTGTGTGTGTGTGTGTATGTGTGTGTGTGTGTGTTTGTGGATTCATTTAGACCAGTGGGTGAAAAATAAAAAAATTGTAGAGATTAGTCCGACAAATCCAGGTGGAAGGATGGATAGACAAAGAGATAAGAGAAAAGGTTGAAATGCTATATTCACAGATAGGAAAAAATCAAGTGGATTTTTATCGAAATAACACACATATCACCCACCCACCTCTACATTCATTTAACATGGAAAGAAACCCAATCACATTTTTTTTAGCTGTTCACATATCAACTTAGTAGTTCTCATATTAAATAAAGACACTTGATTTTTTTTCTTCGTTTTTAAAGTATCAGATTTTAAGCAACATGCTGGCTTTCAGTCTTCTATTCAACAAAATTCTCATCCTTCACACATGTTTATATAATCTCGCCGAGTTAACTAGCCAGTCCAAAGAAGTCCCAGTAAACAGACAGGGTTGGGGGCGTACGGATATCAACCACACACTACTAAACCTATCATCAAACTGCTAGACAAACTTCATTCAGCACACAGTAAATATATACTGCAAATACAGAAACTTCAAATAACAACAATCTTACTTTTCGCTTGAATCGGAGAGGCGAAATGACACAGTGGGCTGGTGAAAGCTAGCCGTCGGGAAGCCAGTCACAGCCAGTCTCCCAGTGTGTGTCTTCTCTCGATGAAAGCAAGAGTAGGAACGGGTAGGTGGAATGTCCGTACAATGTGCGAGACTGGGAAGGCTGTCCATTTAGCCAAAGAGATGGCTTAGAATTACTGAGTATCTGCGAAAGCAGATGGAATGGGTGTGGACTGGCAACATTGTTAACGAGAGAGTCAATAATCTACTCCCGTCTGGTCATTCGGACAAAAACCACGAGCACACTGAGACAGTGAGTAGGTGGCTACCATGATGTCACCAGTGACAACCAAAGCCCTAATGCAGTGAAAACTGATCTCCTCATGAAGACCATGACAACAAGATTCAACTGAAAAGGAAGGAAGGAAGGTCACAATTATCCGATGCTACACACAATGCTATAAACAACGCGGAACAAGAGAAGATAAACGATTTTTACAGACAACTACAAACAGTAATGGATATCAAAATCTTTACGGGCGATATGAATGTAAGCCAAACTGGGAGCAGAAAAAACAGGAAGAGAACTCATCATGGGTCGAGAAACTCTCACTCGGACGGAGTTATTCGTAGACTTCTGCTCTTTCAACAATTTGGTGATCGGAAAGAGCGTGTACAAACACAAAGATATACACAAAGCAACAAGGATTTAGCCTGACGGACATACTACAAACCAGAGATTTCACCTCAATACTGTTCAAAGAAGTGGAGACGCAACCTGCTGGATACAAAGTTGAGAAGGGGAGCAGATGCGGGCTCACATCATCACCTAGTTCAAGGAACCTTCAAAGTGAAGTTGAGATTCCTCAGAAGAACTGCAGACAGGGAAGAATCCAACTTCAAGGTCCGCATTATGTACGAGATTGGCAAAGCTGCCCAGACTGCAAAAGAAATGAAAAGATACGGAATTCAAGTACTTGGGATATGTGAAAGCAGATGGAACGGGAATGGACTCAACAAATTGTCAACGGGTGGAGTCAGTGATCTACTCCGGTCACCCTGAAGATAACCACACGCACACCGAAGGCGTGGCTATCATGATGTCAACAGCGGCAACGAAGGCCCTGATGCAATTGGAGGCGATCTCGCCCAGGATAATGACCGCCAGATTCAACTACAAAGGAAGGAAAGTGTCAGTTATACAATGCTATACACCCACAAACAATGCAGACCTCGAAAAGAAAGAAGAATTCCAAGGACAACTACAGGCGACAGTGGACAATACTCCAGTTGATGACATTAAAATACTAAAGGGAGACATGAACGCCAAAATGAGACCCAAAATACACAAGACAAATATCCCGTTACGACCGATTGTATCACTCCCAGGAACTCCAACATATAATTTATCCAAAGAATTATACAGAAAACTAAAACACCTAATGGAATACCGCGATCACTCCATCAACTCTGCTATTCAATTCCTAGAGAAAATCAGAGACATCCAAATAGATGAACAAGAAATAATGGTATCCTTCGACGTGACAGTATTATATACCTCTATCGGACAAAAACTAGCAAAAGAAACCATGGAGCAATTACTTAGCAACGACGAACAACTTCCACAACAATCAAAAATGCAACACACAAGTTGAATGGAATGCATAAACTCATGCCTAACAATGTATTACCAATTCAACAGCCAAGTATATGAACTAGTTGAAGGAACACCCATGGGATCGCCAATATCAGGTTTGATTGCAGAAGCAGTGATGCAAAGACTCGAAAACATAATTCTACCAAAGATCAAACCCAAAATTTGGATACGTTATTTAGACGACACATTCGTAACAATCAAAAGAAAGGAGTTGGATAAAACTCACAACTTAATAAACGACGTCTTCAACGACACAAAATTCACAAGAGAAGATGAATCCGAGGACAAAATACCATTTTTGGACATCTTAGACAAGCGAAAAACTACAGGGGAATTAGAAACTCAAGTTGATAGAAAATCAACTCACACAGACCAAATCCTGAATTACAACAGCAACAATCCAATAACACACAAAAGGAATTGTATACAAACACTGTTCAAGAGGGCGAGGACTCATTGCGGCACTCCCACCTTAAGGAAAATTGAAGAAAGATATCACATGGACGTCTTCCAAAAGAATGGATATCCACGGAATTTCATCAAAAGACATCTACTCCCAAGCCAACTTATCAAGTCAAAGACCTAAAAAGAAAGCACAAAGAAAACTGCCCTACCGTACATAAAAGACATCTCAGAAATTACTCCCAGACTCTTCAAATTTTTAGGAATTGACGTAGCACACAAATCAACAAAATCACTTCACTCAGTTCTATGTCAACCAAAAGACAGACTCAAGAGCGAAAGAAGATAAAACCAACATCATCTACAAAATAAATTGTAACAACTGCGAAAAACGCAACATCGGCAAAAGTGGACGTCCCTTTCGTCTTCGTATCCGTGGCCATAAGCTAGACGTCAAAATACATGACATCCACTCCCTCACTCATATCGCCTCACTACATACACATAACCACGGACATCAATTTGACTGGAACAACCAGCGTTCAACTATTAGACAGAGGAAACACCAAGAATGCTAGAGAATTATTAGACGACTGTCTAGTATTCCAGTGAATCGTCAATCAACAGACACACCGAGATAGACAAAATTCACCAACCAATAAGAAGTAAATCCCACACACAAAGGGTTAAAGTTTAAGTCAAGGAAGCGATCAGTACCAATACAAGTGGACTAGTCGGTGTGAAGACACGCAGAAACAACCAGTCACGTTCAAAGTGACCCAGCAGGAAATATGACTAATAAACTACTCGTGGAGAAATCTAAAAGCTCACTTCAATGAATTGAAGTATGCGCTGAAGATGTTGCCTAATAGGGCAATGAAACTCATCCAGCTCAGAGAACACGACTATATCAAGAAGTTAATCACTCCATGAATGACTATGCAGTGTATATGTACGCTATAAAATAAACCCACTTTGGAAGTCAACTGTACCGCCCGGATTTTCTAATTTCGGTAGCTTAAATATTATCGTACAAAAAAGTGGAATGCATTAAACAAACTATTTCTGCCTTTTTGTTTGGACTCAATTACTCTGGATAACAGCCATACTTAATGTGTGACGGTTGATAAACCTAATTGCCCAGGCTGAAACGAGCGGAAAGGGACATGAACTCATGACCCGTTGGCTGTGATCCTGGCTCTTCACCCGATATCAATGACATCTATGCTAATTTGTTCTCTTTTCAACTCTACAGTACTGATTTAAATCTGCAACTTGATAGTTCCAGATATTTCCAACTCTTTAAAAAATTCAAGAGATGAAAGACGAATTCCAATGCATTTAAATCAGATTTCATAGAAAATGTATTCGAAAAATACTGAAATTCGAAGGTAGTTTTATTGGTTAGGTAAACTTAGAAATCATAGCTCTTACAGATAATTGGCAGCTTGTTAATTATCCTACTAACAAAAATAAAGTAGTATAAACCCATATCGCTCACCTTACTATTCGGTAGTGGACGCAGTGATTTTTCGGCTTTACTTGGATCATCTTTTTCTTCAAAGTAGAAGGAACTCCGAAACCTGATCAAAGGCTAAAACCAAGGGACAGAAGGACAACTGAATTAACTAAGCGAAGAAATAATACCTCTATCGGCAATCTATGTAAATGCAGGAAAGCAACGGGAGGAAATCAGCGATTTCACTCCCTATTTCCTCGCTAAAACATCTAATAAAACAAAGATATCAGATTTACAAATATATGAATATGTGGGTAAAATTACTATTATATACTCTTATTATTCCCTTGGGTTTCGAGTGGAACGGCTTCCTATCAGGAGTCAGCCAATGGTTTTCGTCTAATGACCTTAAACTGAATCCTTCTAAATGTCAGACTGTTGATTTCAGTTTCCGATATAAAAGAAAGTTAAATGAAGCTGTTGGTTCCTATAACCCTTGCAAAATTGATGATACTGATATAGAAACCAAGTCTGAATTTCAGTATCTTGGATTGATTCTTTTTTTCTGACCTATCCTGGTCTTCCCGTGTATTAGCGATTTCGAAAAGAATATTTCGTCTAACTTTTTACATAAAGAAGTTAAGGCACTCAGGCATAACCCAACCACTCCTCTTACAGTTTGTCAACTCGTGCATCTTACCTATTCTTCTTTACTGTTCACCCTTGCTTATTCTTTCCTGGATTGCTCAAAAAAAGTTTATGTCATACTTCGTAGGACTCTGAAGACTGTCAGTCAGTAGGACGAGTGGCATCCCATTGGGCCATATTGTTGACACCGTCATTGATGATAGGCACCTGATGTCATGCAACAAATTTGCTAGAGGAATTTTTTCACTTTACCCGCAGCTCTAACCTTGTGTCTCCTCAGGTAAAACGTCTAAGTATAAAAATTCCACTATATATTCCACTTCATATTTGGCACGTACTTTATGTGATAAAAATAGTGTTAGGCACGAACCAACTAGCCTTCTTTGCACTACACTACATAAACCATTTCCTCCACCCTTACAATATCAACTTTTATTGTTATTGTACTTCTTATATTTATAATTCTCTCGATTTTTTCCCTCATAAGTGTGAACGTCGTTTACCTGTGGTATAACTGTTAATCTTGTATTTCCCCTCACCATGCTGCTATATCAACAGAACATGCTAAAATTTTCAAATTGAATCAACAATACTGTTTGAAACAAACTCACTGTTATTATTATTATTATTATATTTACTATTCTCACTTAGGACTTCGAATGTTTTTGACTTTATATTGTAAACGTGGACAAATTCCTATGGTTAATTTTGTTTTAATTTTTAATTTTATTTATATTTTGAGTTAATCAGATGCAATATTGTTACAGATGCTGAGAATTCCATTCTGTATTATAAGTACTGTTTTTGGAATAAAGTCTGTCTGTCTGTCTGTCTGTTTTCGACATAGAACTTTGCACAAATGTGCGGAAGTTCAAGTCGCCACATTCCGTGTAGCACGCGAAGCAAGAGAAGAAAGTACAAGAAAAGCATAATAGAAACAGTGAGCAGAGGTGTGAGACAAAGGAGTAATAAAGAAATACAAAACAGTTTCATTGAAGATCATAAGTCACAGGGAGTGGATGCATCTGCGCCACTGTGAACGGTTTTGAGCCATGTCACCAATTGTTTCCAACCATAGATTTTTACCGTCCCGAGGACCCCAGCCTGGAAGTCTACACCTTTCTACGTGGCTTAGACCAACTGTTGTGGATTTCATTGACTGGTGAAGCCAAGTTTTTGTTTGACCGCCGCTAGCTTTTTTCCAGTCTGACCCTATATCCGCTAACATAGCTCGTCGAGGGAGGCGATGGCTTGGCATACGTAACACATGTCCTAACCATCTCAGTCTTTGTAGCTTCACGACTTCGTCGATTGATTTCCCCTGTTTACCTAGAACTCTGCGCCTAACCTCCATGTTGCTCACCTTATTATGCCACTTTACACGGGAATAAAGTAGATTATTTATTTATTATTATATTATTATTATATCCCTTCAGTGGCTCATCTTCATTTCACTCTGTTCTCTGAAGTCTTTTGTAACTGGCTGCACGACTACTTAGAAGCTTCTTTTCTTTTTAACCAGACGATCTTCTACATGTCACCTTAGGAAGTCCCACTTGCCGTTACTTATTCAGGCTCTACGTTAGGGTGTGATGTCACTCAACGATTTTCTCAGAGTATGTCCAGTCCATCCCCATTTCTTTGGCACATTTGCTAGGGGATAGAATTCTTGTTTGGTTCATTGTTAGATTTCCTCAACGTTTATCCTTTCTAACCATCAGATCTTCAGCATCAAGCGAAAGCAGCTTGTTGGGAGTCTTTTTCGTAATGCACTAAATCTCTGAAGCATATATGGGAGCATTGACTTGACAGTGGTATTGAAAATCCAAAACTCCGTCATGCCAGTAGTGCCAGTAGATGTCCAATAATCTCAACCTTACCTTTGAAATCATAATTTGCGCTGCCTGTGCCTGTAGCTGGACAGATAAATCGGATTGCATTCAGCCACACGATTTCGGCTCAAAGTGAATTCACCACATACACCAACGAAACTTTCAAAATTGATTTTTTTAAAGACATAATTTGGTAAATCTATCAAGTCACTTACACGGTCTTTGTAAGTTTCAGGAAGAAAAGTAGGTGCATGTGAATTATTATTACATTTCCTTGAATCTGTTGAGTTCAGCGTACCACTTATGCTAGAATGAACGTCATCCATCATGGGAGAAAATGTATTCATCAATTGAGGTGTGGAAGATTTTGAAGCTTGATTTTCTATCGGTGTGAAAGGGCCAACTGTTGACGGCAAATGTATTAAACAGCCGATGACATCATCCTTTTTATATCCACCATTCGTATAATGTTTACCGTGAGATTCATGAAATACAGTACCAAGACGTGATCGCCAGGAATAGCTAAATTTGTCAAAACCACAAGGTGCTTGTAAATTACCTGGATATATATCAAGAGAGAAGGCAGTATTGAACATCTGTAACTGGAAATAACTGTAGATCACAAAAACCAATACAAGTTTTTCTTAAAAAAAGACAAGCATTAACATGTTTTGACCGTCTCACAGTCAAGTAGTCAAGTTAAAACTTAGATACAAGCTTTAAAAGACTAAACAGACAGTCGAAGACAAACCAGTAGAATCAAGCTGTAGTAGCGAAGAAATCTCAGCACACAACAGACTAAGATTGGGCTAGTAAATTCACAGTGCTGGACAACTACTCATCTACTCCTAGCGAGTAAATAGTTCGATGTGGCATAATCTATGCTATTCACTGCAGGACATTACGAGCAGGTAGGCATTAATACAACATGCTTTCCATAGCATAAATCATTTATATTACTTGTATATATATATATATATATAGAATATTCTAGAATAGAATATATTCTAGATTAGTAGTCAATAACAATATTGGCGTGTTTTCTAAATAATATCGATTTGTAAAGTATGACCACAATGGAATTACAGTTCATTAAAGAGGCTTAAATTATAATAATAATAATAATAAAGATACAGTAGGAAATAGAATATCAATTAAAATTAGGAAAACTCCACAAAAATTCAGGATCATTCAAACCTAGCTGGCCAAGGTAACGATAATGTCTGAACTAACTTTTTTGGATGCACAAATTACTCTTTTTAATATGGATCCCAACAGTCAGCCTCAGCAATATTTAGTAGTCGAACTCTTAAGGAAAAATTGTGATTTTTCGGTATGCAGTTAATGACTATGAAAGCCTCCTTGTTAACATCAATCTTGTGTTCTGTATCCACAAGATGAGAGAGAATAGCGCTACGAATAGATCTTGTTTGTACTTTACTTAAAACACGCAGGATGATGTTCGGAAATCCGACAAGAAACACGTCTAATTGTACGACCTATGTAACTGGCTCCACAGGAGCAGTTTAACTGGTAGATACACATGAAAGAGGAGAAATAGGCAGTTCATCTTTTACTCCTGAACGCAAAAGAGGCGTGATTTTGAAGACATAGAGTAATTCAGCAGCAGGGAATGCTCTTTTCACCGCCTCATTTCTAAGGCTATGTGTTAGTATCTCGCTGATGTTGTCCCTAAGGAACTGCATTTGTAAGAATAAGGCTTTTTTAGGAACTCTTGGTACCTTGAGCTGCCTTGAATTTAGGTTCATATTCTCATTAATAAAGTTTTCTGGAAAACCGTTTTCACTCAGCAACCATTTGATATTAGTAAGTTCCCCATCAAGACAATCATCCGAGCAGATTTCTTTTGCTCGGTGGAACAAACACTTTATCAGATTGCGTTTGTATTTCAAGGGCACGAAGCTGAGAAAATGAGTATACTGACCCGTTGATGTAGGTTTTCTATATACACTTCTTCTTATGGCGCCATCCTCTTTACTGGTCATAATGTCATCTAGAAATGAAATACTAGAGTCTTTCTCTTCCTCAATAGTAAAATTTATTGCAGGATGAACCTCATTAAATTTATCCAGGATGTTATTTGCTTCCTTCTCATTTTTCATACTCAAAAATATATCATCCGTGTACCGACAATAGAATTCGAGTTCATTAATAACATCCTTCCAAGGCCCATATTCTAGTTCCGCGAGGAAAATGTCGACTAGAATGGGTTCTATTGGTGACGTCACTACCACACCGCCGATTTCCCCATATAGTTACTTATTAAATAAAAAGTGGACATTCATTGTGCTTTTGAAGAGAAGCTCTTTCGTAAAAGATATAGGAATGCCAACATCAATGTTTCGTCTTATGAGTTCATAGCATACAAAGTCCACTGTTTCCATGAGTGGTACATTGGTGAATAAGGAAGATACGTCAAATGATATCATGAACTTATTGTTAACATTTAAATCTTTTATCCTTTCAACAAAACCAAAAGTATCCTTTACACTGTGTTTCACCAACTCGGTATGAAGAGTTCGACTAACCATTTGGATAGTATCGTGAATTTAGCATATCTAATAATGGTCGAAGCGGTACACCATTTTTGTGCGCTTTAGGCGAGCCATATAGTCTTGGTGTGAACATTCCAGTGAGCTTAAGTGATGTATAATGAAAAAAAAGTTTGATTGCATTAAAAACTACAGATTCTTATACCGGCTCATTTCCATAGTGTTCACCAATGTTTGTAAGAGGGACAAACATTGCCTAATTATTCGACCGAAACATCTGACAGATAAGCATTCATGGCATCTACCTTATTTTACCCGGCAGTAACAACTTGTATAAATAGGGACGACAGAAATTTCAATACTCACCATACATTTGAGACCAGCCAATTCGAGTTGCAGAACCTTCTGGTTGTTCTGTGATGATTGCTTCAAAATACCAGGTACCCGAGTGAACGCTGTGAGTCGCTCTAGACATACAGTATCCTTTATCGCCAGTAACTGATAACTGAGATTCGTGTACTTTCAAGTGATTCGCTATGAAGAAGAATAAAAAAAGTAGTAAAGGACAAGAAAACAACAACAATAAAGCCTGTCTGTCTGTTTTCGACATAGAACTTTGCACCGATGTGCGGCAGTTCAAGTCGTCACACTCCCTCCTTGTAGCACACAAAGCAAGAGAAGAAAGTAGGAGAAATGTATAATAGAGACAGTAATCAGAGGTGTGAGACAAATGAATAGTAATAACGAAGAACAATATGGTTTCATTGGAAACCATAAATCACAAGGAGTGGATGCATCTGTGCCACTGAGAACGATTTTGAACCATATCACCAATAGTTTCCAACCATTGGTTTTTACCGTCCCGGGGACCCCAACTAGTCAGGAAGTCTACACCTTCCTACATGGCTTAGACTAACTGTTGTAGATTTCATTGACTGGTGCCATGTTTTTGTTTGACCTCCACTAGCTCTTTTCCAGCCTGACTCTGTATCAGCATCAATAAAGTAATCATGAAGGACTGAAATTCAGATGAAAAATGTATGCTTTTTTATACAGATGTTTAAGTAGTACAATCATTAGTTACACTGGGTAGAGGAGAATGATGGTCAGGAAGGCTTTGTGTGCTTTTGGAAGTGCGTGGGCGGTTGTTACTTGCCAGCTACCCAACCAACCGTGGAAGTTGGTTGATTCTTTGGGTACCTGAAGGGTTGGTGTTGTGTGACCACAGAGCCCAGGGGACAACTGCTTGAGTCCAGTCACACACGGCCTGTATGAACTGATTTCTGGGATTGGTTCCGTATTAGTAAACTCATAACCGGTTACGGACTACCGCAGGTTGAGTCGAGGGGTACAATTGTTGGGGTCGACATTTTTTGGCTCCCTCTCTCCAGAGTGGATAGACAACATAGCTGGCTGGCATTCTGGTCATCTGAGGGAAACACTGTACTGCTGTTACCTGCTTCGCCGGTTACGGACCACCGTAGGGTGAGTCAGGATGTACAATTGTTGGGGTCAACATTTTCAGACACCATAGCTGGCTGAGATGCTGGTCATCTGAGGGAAACACCTCACTGCTGTTACACCCCTGTTCCCCAGCAGTACGATTTCGCCCTCCGACCCCCAGCATAGTGTAGAAAAAATAAATTCTTACACTATGTCAGCAACTGCTTTTAGTCTAACGCTATCCTAACAACCTCCCTGGGATGGTAGGACCCGCAGGAACATTGGTTCCAGACAGTGTAGCTTGTTGGATCATCGCGATGTGCAAGCCCGACCACTACGCCAAGGTAGCAGCTATCGGTCGGGCATTAGTTATGCCTGTTCAAATGAATAATAAACAAGTAAATTCAAATGTTTTCTACAAACTTCACGTTGTTCAGGTTCAGGATGCTAAGCAAAATGTACAAACTTGAGGGTGTAAATGTAAGGGGTAGAAGGCGAAAGATTTGGTAAGGAATGTTTACTCGGAAATTGGTCTCTCTATATTATAGCCAAATTATGTACACCTTATCTTCAACGCGCTATTTGCACAAATCTTCCGTGTTGTGGTACTTCTAGCCTTCTTATTGTGTTTCTCTGTTTCCCTTCCAAATCTCCTGTGTATCTCTCCGACTATATTACTATAGTATATGTTTTTTTTCCTTCACGCTTTCCCATTGGAACATAGGGCACCTTCAAGCTAGAAGCTTGAAGTTTCCTATAGCAGTGATGTTTATGTTTACAGGATGCGGTTGCTAGCCTCATGCCTAACCTTCTCTCTTTACCAGTTTTATTACTGGCATAGCGAGGTAAGGGGGGAGTGCGTCAGTGGCCGGGGACCGAACCCCGCACCATGTGCATGGTCGGCAAGCATGCTAACCGCTACGCCACCGACGTGTATCTGTATGAAATTAAGATAAGAGAAAGAAGTTTATAAAAGCATCCAAGAATATTATGGAATGTGTTAGAAAAGAAATCTTGGTATAAACAGAAAATAATAATAACAATAAGAATAGGTAGTTGAACATTTGAAATTGATTTATTCACCTAAATTATTCATTCATTCATTAGAGTGGTATCGGTGATAAAGTTGGCATTGGACTCCATTTTTTATATGAAGTTGATATACTAGGCGGTGATATTGGAACTGATGTTGTTGTTGTTGGTGTTGTACTGGTCATCGAACTAGTAGTGATGATGAATGCATAACACCGTCGATTAATTCATTTGGTCTCGGTGTTGTATACCATCGACCACTTGGTGGTAATAGATAAGCACAATGTTTTATTAATAATTCAATTAATGCATGTTCAAATAGTGTACCAGCTAAACAACTTATAGGATCTGTATACGATGAACTTAATAATGTTGGAGATAAAACAATAGCTAAGTTAGCAGTAGTCATCATATTGATTTCTTGCTTTTCAGCTATCCTGTGTATATGATTGATAAAGTAACGTAAACTTTCATAATGAGCACCTGGTAATCGAGAAAACACCTTCTTCAATAAATCAAGCTTTTCTTGTTCCACTAGTCGGTCATTACGAACAACATAAAGTAAATCTGGATAAGCTTCATTGGTGATTAATGGGACAGGCGATTGACGTAGAAATGATTTAATCAAACTTGTCAAAGCATTGATATCACGTACATGAGCTTCAGATATATTGGCTAATTCTGGATCTTTATCAAATTCAATACGTAATTCTTCGACTAGATCATAATTTCCATGGATACGATAAAGACCTTCACAGAATAATCCACCACAACGTTCTATTTCTTGAATACATTTAATGAGAAGTGTTGGCACAGCCTTATTCTCAGCTCTTGCTAAATTAGTCAAATCAATACCGAAAACTCGTTTCATTTGCTTAATATCAGGTACACAATTACACAATCACGTATAGTATATATATATATATATATATATATATTACTCATAAATCTTATCAGTAACACTCGCTACTATAAATGACTATTAAAGCGACACAAACTACTGAAAGACTGAGTTGTTTTTAAAACAAAAGTTCATGATTTACAAATGAAATAAGTGCTGTTAATAAAAATATAAATCCTAAAAATTTAATAATAATCATATATATATATATATATATATATTCGCATAAATTCATATTTTTTTCTCAGAACATTGAAGGCAAACAAAAATTTCATGGGAAACACCTATGAAATATATATATATATATATATATATATATATATATAACAAAGATAAACTTACCACGATCACTCAGAGACAAGACCACTTGCGAACATATAAACACACGGTAGAATAAGCCAGGTATGGGCTTTCCAGCTGTGAACTCACATTCATCCCACTGCTCTCGACCAGGAGCATGCTTGTCTGGTTCAACTAAAATGTAACTGAAGATAAGAAAACCAAGCTATCAGCAGATGTGATAGTTGTTTCGTGGTAGTTAAGTAATCCTGTACACCTATTCATCGTGTTTCAACACACCAGTAACTGATCTAGATATTTCATACATTTGGTTCCCTTGATAAATTTCGATAGAGGAAGAAAGACCAGATTTGCAGTATAAAATGAAATCATCATCCTATTTCACCGGTTTCTCCTCATCAGTTGCAAACTATCTGAAATTACAATGGTTATAAGTAGTGACATTTCATACTTCAATTTTTGAAAGGTAATAAAGAAAAAATTATAAGATGAGCACATCTTTATTACCTTTCAAAAATTGAAGTATGAAATGTCATTACTTATAACCATTGTAATTTCAGGTAGTTTGCAACTGATGAGGAGAACCTGTGAAATAGGATGATGATTTTATTTTATACTGCAAATCTGGTCTTTCTTGATCCAGATTTGTTACATCATTTTAGCGATGGATTCAGGATATCCTATTAAGCACTCTGTATCTCATTCCTAATCAGTAAAATGCTACTAAAATATCTTAAGTGACCATTGTACAACTAAATCAGCTCAAAATCTTGGACATCTATAGGTCTGTGTAATCGAAGATGAAATTTTATATAGCACAATGAGTTCTTTGTATTTTTGGAATGGTACCAAATTTAAGCTAAAAAATTGGGAAGTGAAATAAAATGCAACTCCATTCAGTTGGCGGTGGGCCACACCTCTTGTGTGGAGGACTGGTGATACCAGCTAACTTTCAAAACCTCAGGGGATGCGGAGGATTTTGAACCCGTGACCGAGTGGTTGGAAGTCTAGCACTCAAGTTTATGGGCCAGAGCTCCACATGTTAAAAATATAAGGGGATGCAATTTACGGAATAACTTAATGATAAAGACTAGGCATCCACACCTTTTAATCAGTACTAGTTCTTTAGAAAGTCTGAAGTTTAAACGTGCTACAAGGAGGGAGTGTGGCGACTTGAACTGCCGCACATCGGCGCAAAGTTCTATGTCGAAAACACACAGGCAGAGGGAGAACAAGTAAAAGCAATATCAAACAAAAACAACTGCTTAATGATTTCTGCTTTCAGTAATCCTACGACTGGTGTAAACATGTGGCAAAATCTGCCTCGGAACTAATCAAATATGCACAAGCGTAAAATCTGCATACATTTATTCAAACACAAAACTGACAAAGTGAGTCGCAAGTATAAAAACATAAAAACAAGAAAATAACATCTACGGTGACACCACGAACAAAATCATTCTCATCAAGGGCATTTACCACTTTTTATAATCACTGACAGTAAAAGAAACGTAAAATAAACAACATTTTGAGAAATGACATCATTTCAAACCACATACGATTTCTCAAGTCAGAATCGCCATATCTTTTTGAGACTATCTTGAGTGACTGGATACAGAAACTGATGCAAATTTAATGAAAAAATATGCCCTAAACTAGTGCCATGTCTCTGTCTTTTCAAGCCAGTCACAGGTCCAACAAATTGATATGAAAATTGGTACGAAGACACTTAGAACAGATATCCAAGTCATCGAAATCTATGTCCCAATACAACTAAGCAGTAATTTAAGACAAAAAGTTGCGGTAGATTTCCAACCTGAGAATACTAGATATCTAAATCCAATAGGAACGTTGCCCACTCACTCAACCTTCAATTAGCCAATTGATGTCACATCAGAGGTGGCTCAAATCGAAATGACTCACCATGGCTTTAATAATAATGATATTGACTTTATTTCAAACAGTAACTTTAATAAAATGTGAAATTTTCAACATGTAACGCAATATTGCATTTAATTTTGTCCCTGCACTACATAATAAGTACATGGGAAAATAATTCACAGGACACTTACATTGGTATCATTGGCCACTGATAGTACGGATTTAAATTTATAATGGGAATAATAATCACAACAATATATTGATCAAAGAACGAACAGAAAGGATAGTTTGCTCAGTATTTCGTAGTAAGTTGATAGTGTCATGGCCTAACACTTCTCTCATCACATAAAATACGTGCTAAATAAGACATTGTAGCGTTTTGTACTTAATCATCTCAGCATAAAGTCTACCATAGTTGCTTCTAGTTCTACCTCATGAAATGTAAGGAGAGAGTTGTGCATCGAGATGCTCAGAGTCCGATAGGATGACATCTGCTAATTTCCTAAATGAGTTCGAGTGTCTGTCTACAATATTATTAAAAAGTTGGTTTAGCAGTATCCCAATTGCCCAATTGACAACTTTTAGTGACATTCGCAGTGTAACAAATTCTTTCTTAAGTAGCTCAAGGAAGACTAAGTGGTGGGGAGCAATGAAGAAGAACAGATAGAATACAAGAACTGACAAACTTAGAAAGTGGAAACTGAGCAATACCAGATTATCTTTCGATATGCAGTTTTAAATTTTAATTGTCACATTTCCGTAAATAATCGGAACAGTTCTTAATAACACCGAATACAATTTAGCCAACGCCCAAATCCATCCAAACCATCACTTCTGAACTTGGTTTAAACGTCCACAGTTCATATAGTCTTTAAATTTCATTCAGGCAAATTACAATCGGAATTGTGGTCTATTAAATTACATACATTTTGTCAAGCGAGCTCTAATGTTTACTGGATTAAAACTCCAAGTGCAAATGTTTATAAATCAGATATACGTAACGAAAGCTCAAATACAAATTAAGAAAATCAGGTTAGTTTATGAGAATACGTCGGGTAGGGTTAGCGCATTCATCAATGTCAAAACATAATTCTACTGGTCACTGATTCAATGCTGTCAGTTACCCAGGGCATATTTTTTAGACTTTCTATTACAATACTGATGGGAAAACAGACAGCTGAAATAAGTACTCTGTTTCACCACATTTCGTCTATTCTGGTCAAGTAACTGCTTGAATAAGGCTGAAGAGAAGACCAAACTGAAACTCCACATTCAGTGGTAGCTGGGTGCACGGATCACTTGCATAAAAAGCTGTTTCTGATACACCAACTGGCACCTGGTGCAACCACATGACCAAATTAAGTGTGAATTCATACTGGAAAAAGAACCAAAGCTACCAAACACTTACATTTGAGGAGTTAGCAACATTACCGTAGAATAATGACTTTTAAGAAATAGGTATGTGAAGATGAACAAACGGAGCCAGTGTGAATGTTTAAAAGCTTAGGTGCGCAAGCATATAGTCAAAATACGACACTTACCGATATCCTTCTCTATTTAGCGCATGATCTATTGGAAACCCCAAAGCATTCAACTTTACACGTCCTTCATCAGAAACTGCAGCTCCACTCAGTGCAGTAGTCCCACCAAGAACAGACGTTAAAGTGGCTCGGCGAGTTGAACGCACCAAGCCACTTGGAGAAGCATTGTTTACTTCATTGGATGACGCAGAAGCTCTCATACCAGGGAACGTTGAAACTTCAGTAGTAGACATACTCCCCGAAATTTTGCCTTCTGAAGACGTGCCAGGCATAAAAGATGATACAGAAAAACTACCCATTCCACTGAATAAACTATTACCCGGAGATCTGCGTTTACGCCAAGCAGGTTGATCCACACCATCAATTTCACCACTAAAAGGAAACTGGTTGCCAGCTGACGAATGATGCAGGAACTGATCTGCAGTATCGGAAACAGCACCCGACACCGAAGACTGATTTTGAGACACACTGGCGGGAATGTTTGCGGACGGGACACCCAGTTTAGTAATATTTGTCCGCAACTGGCTTGTAAGAGCACGAAATCGATCATAACTCGGACCAATTTTTGTGAGGTCCTACAGAAGTAAATGCAATACGCCAGTGAGCATTAAAACCCCGTCTATTTTTGGGAAAACTACCAAACCTGAGAAACAATTGGGAGTCTTACACTGGACTCTTCTCAGAGAAAAATATTAGGATACGTAAAGCGATTGCGCGTCGGTGGCACAGAGGTTACGACGCTCGCCGACCATACGCATGCTCCGGGGTTCGATCCCCGGCCGACTCACTCCTTTACCTCGCCAAGCCAGTAATAAAAAAGCTGGTAAAGAGGAAAAATTGGGCATGAGGCTAGCGATCCCATCCTGTAAAATTAAACACTGCTGCAGAAACTTCAAGCCACTAGCCTGAAGCCCTATGTTCCACTGGGAACGTGAAGGGAAAAAAACGCGATTGCACCTCAGGCACGTCAAACTTTCTTTAGCATACTAAACGATCAAATTTAATTCTGGTACACGTCAGACAGTGAATGCAAGTATGTTCGTCTCACTTCGTTACATAAGTGTAACACGGAAACAGAGATAAAAATGACTACATCACGTTACCATTAAAACAGAGCTTAATGACTCAACTCATGCCTAATGGTCAACATTAGGTCGCCAGTTGCACCACCAAACTTCACATGAAAAACAGCTTCCAGCCTGAAATGTCTCCCGTGTTAGCATCCCTACCTTTGGCATCAGCCTCACGCTAACCACCTTCCCCTACTACTCATCCATGGTGTTCCAGCGACAGATGATAACATTACCGATCAAAGGAGAAAACGAACGGCCTTATCCGAACATGGATACTTTGCGATGGTCTCCAAAGTCACTGTTTTGTAATTTGTCAGACCACATTTGCAAATCTAGGCAAGTAAGGATAGTTGCCGCATTTTATCTATAACTTTATAAATTTCATTGCAATCATTTGAATACACTTAGACAGCTACGTTTTACGTTCCCCACTTGATTTTTTCGGAAATGAGTAGTGATTCCACAGTTAATAGTTCAAAGATATTAGCATACTAGTTAGATCCTTACCGTATTTGATAAGCACACGTAGAGATCGTCTGGCGTTTCTACAGTTTTGAAAACATCACTACTAGTCTAAGACCATAGATTAACAGAAATAACAAACCAAAGTTTTATGGATGTTCGGATACCATGAATTATTGGACTTCCTTGGCTGTGTTGTGAGTTCTTCCCAACACTCCTCAAGAAAAGGTATGAGTTCCTTAGATTCCATAAAGTATAAACGACCGCCATGCCTCAGCATTAGATTTGCCAAAGCTGTTTGACACATGACGGTAAAATTAGCCTGCTTCCTAGAAAAAACCTCCTCTCCGATAGCATTGCACCTTTTGCACATGAAGTGGTATGCAGTAAGAAATGGCAAAGCTTTCCTATTGGAGAACAGACAATAAAATCACATGCATGAACATACCCTATGTTGAAAGCAATACATTCCAGGTGAAACCACTTATAACAGACGCTACACTAATCCGGTCTGCTATAATCACGCGGCATCATACTAAAATGTAGACAATGGCACAAATGGCAAACTAACCAGTAACATTGTGGGCCAGGAGGTGTCGGTATATTTATTACCATTGCCAAGAGCATACAGGTTTCAGGTTCAGGTTTATTGGTTGAGGATAGAAGGCTTGCAGCCTATGTTAATCCTTTTCTAGTAGATTTCTGTGGTTGTCCAAACCCTTCTTGAACGAATCAATTGAGGTTGCAGACACCACTTCTTCTGGGAGTCGGTTCCAAGAGTTTATGACTCGATGTGAGAACCAGTACTCAACAGCAATATGATTTCTCCTTGGCTTTTGAACTCTCCTGCTATGTCCTCTAAGGTGTTCCGACCTGGTGGGAAGGAAAAGAGAGAATAGGTCAGGTCCGTAGTCATTATTTAAAATTTTAAACATTGTGATTAAATCTCCTCTCTGCCTACGGTATGACAGTGAGAAGAGATTTAAACTATCTAGTCTTTCCTCATATGATAAGTTAGCTATGCCGTGAACCATACGTGTTGCCTTCCTTTGAACACTTTCTAGAATGTGTGAATCCCCTTTTAGACACGGACTGGCGGCCTGGATGCAGTTTTCCAGTCTTGACCTAACCAGAGATGTGTATAAGGAGGTGAACATATCTCTGGTAATTCTTGTAAAGGCTCTGCGAATCGCCCATAAGGACCTGAAACTACGTGCAGCCACCGCGCGACAGTGTGCTGTAGTTTTTAAGTCGTGGCTAACTATGACACCTAAGTCCAAGTGAGTCTGAACTGATGGAAGTGTTATTCCCTCTAGTTCGTAGGAGCTCGTGCTTGCTTGTCCAATGCGCATGGTTGCACATTTTGCCACATTGATCGGGAGCATCCATTCAACAGACCACTCCGACAGTTTGTTGAGGTCGTCTTGCAAGGTGGACGTATCACTGTTGCCCTTCAGCTCCCTCCAAATTTTTAAGTCATCTGCGTATAGGACCATAGGGGAGTCGGTCAGCAGAGGTAACTCATTGATATACAGAATAAAAAGGAGAGGACCGAGAACCGTGCCTTGTGGCACTCCGCTACTTACTGCTGTCCAGGAGGAGAGTTTTGAGTTGATCCTAACCCTCTGCCTCCTATCTATGAGGAATTCCCTGAGCCAGTCTAGTAGTCTGCCTTTGATACCAAGACTTTCCAATTTCATGAGTAGTCTTTTGTGAGGTACTTTATCAAAGGCTTTACTGAAGTCTATGAAGACGACGTCAACGGGTCTTCTGTCATCCTTTGATTTAACCCAGCTTTCTCTTGCAGTCAGGAGATTTGACAGGCATGAGAGGTTCCTCCGGAAGCCATGCTGTGCTCCAGATAACAAGCTGCTATTTTCCAGATAAGCCATGATGCTTTTCTTGATAATTCTTTCCAGTGTCTTGATTAAAGTGCTGGTGAGACTGATAGGCCTGTAATTTGAAGGGCTTTGTCTTGATCCTCCTTTGTGTATGGGAGTTACTATGGCGTCTTTCCAATCACGTGGCAACACTCCATTTTGGAGAGATAGCTTGAAGATCGTGGTCAAGGGGCCGGCTATGTGGGCTGATAGCTCCTTGAGAAGCCTTGGATGAAGACTGTCAGGACCCATTGATTTTCCTGCATCTAGTTTCATTAAGAAGTTGAGCACGATGCCTTGGTCGATGTCAACGGAATCTATCCCATGTTCTTCTGATGCAGCCAGAGCTGATCCTATAGGCAGTGATGACTCCTGAGTGAAGACTTGGGAGAAGTAGTTTGCCATTGCTTCTGCTTTTTCTTGATCTTCTTCGATTGTATCTTTGTCAATAATCAGGTTTGGGACACCATTGGGTGTTTTATTCCTGAAATTCAAGTACGAGAAAATTTTCTTAGGTTGTGCCTTTGCATTTTGGGCCAGGTGTGTCTCGAACTTCATCCTTGATTGGCGGATTTCTGCGATAGCTTTATTTCTAGCAGTAGTATATAATTCCCTGGTCTCAGAAGTCTCAAGTGTTGCAAACAGGTTCCAACATTTGCGTTTACGTCTGAGTAACTTACGAATCTCCCGGTTTATCCAAGGGGGGGAATGTTTCCGACCCTTTGGAACAGACCAAGGGATGAAGGGTACAGTTACTTGGGCGTAAAGTTGCTTAAATTGGTTCCATGCGGCTTCTACTTGGGACTCTGGATTGATGTACCAGTTTACTGAGTTGGCTGCTGAGACGATCGCATTTATGTCAGCTTTCCAAACGTTTGGTCGAGCTGGGGTTTTTGCGAAAGACTACGGTGCGCCATTCATTGGTGTCCTCCTCGCTAATCTTAGTGGGGTTCGTCTGTCTGCTGCTCACAGGTGTGGATGAGGCTTGTTCCGCCAGTCCCTGGGCGACTGGGGCTGCAGGTTTTCGACCCCTAGTACGCCTCTTCTTCACGACAGTCTTTCCATTGCTGTCATCACTAAATGAGTCTCCTGTTTCCTCTTTTTCAGATAAGAACGCTGGCCTGGCCGTGCTGGAACAGGTGGAGGACCGTTTGTCTAACTTTGTTATAAATGACAATGATTAGCTTGTACCCGGGCAATTCGAGCCCTGCGTGCTGGAAATATAGACCTTCCTCTCGCATCTTCCTCTTCTTCCTTCGCTGATTGTGTCTGTTGCTTCTGGGTGTTACACTTTGTTGTTCCCAAGATGGTTTGTGGATTGCTTAAATTATGTATACATCATTATCTAGACTGTAAGGGATAATTCACATTCATCGAAAAACAATTCCGAAACTACGAGTAACATAGAAAAAATGGACTGTGACCAAGATGACCAGAGTATGCTCTTGGCAATGGTAATAAATATACCGACACCTCCTGGCCCACAATGTTACTGGTTAGTTTGCCATTTGTGCCATTGTCTACATTTTAGTATGATGCCGCGTGATTATAGCAGACCGGATTAGTGTAGCGTCTGTTATAAGTGGTTTCACCTGGAATGTATTGCTTTCAACATAGGGTATGTTCATGCATGTGATTTTATTGTCTGTTCTCCAATAGGAAAGCTTTGCCATTTCTTACTGCATACCACTTCATGTGCAAAAGGTGCAATGCTATCGGAGAGGAGGTTTTTTCTAGGAAGCAGGCTAATTTTACCGTCATGTGTCAAACAGCTTTGGCAAATCTAATGCTGAGGCATGGCGGTCGTTTATACTTTATGGAATCTAAGGAACTCATACCTTTTCTTGAGGAGTGTTGGGAAGAACTCACAACACAGCCAAGGAAGTCCAATAATTCATGGTATCCGAACATCCATAAAACTTTGGTTTGTTATTTCTGTTAATCTATGGTCTTAGACTAGTAGTGATGTTTTCAAAACTGTAGAAACGCCAGACGATCTCTACGTGTGCTTATCAAATACGGTAAGGATCTAACTAGTATGCTAATATCTTTGAACTATTAACTGTGGAATCACTACTCATTTCCGAAAAAATCAAGTGGGGAACGTAAAACGTAGCTGTCTAAGTGTATTCAAATGATTGCAATGAAATTTATAAAGTTATAGATAAAATGCGGCAACTACCCTTACTTGCCCAGATTTGCAAATGTGGTCTGACAAATTACAAAACAGTGACTTTGGAGACCATCGCAAAGTATCCATGTTCGGATAAGGCCGTTCGTTTTCTCCTTTGATCGGTAATGTTATCATCTGTCGCTGGAACACCATGGATGAGTAGTAGGGGAAGGTGGTTAGCGTGAGGCTGATGCCAAAGGTAGGGATGCTAACACGGGAGACATTTCAGGCTGGAAGCTGTTTTTCATGTGAAGTTTGGTGGTGCAACTGGCGACCTAATGTTGACCATTAGGCATGAGTTGAATCATTAAGCTCTGTTTTAATGGTAACGTGATGTAGTCATTTTTATCTCTGTTTCCGTGTTACACTTATGTAACGAAGTGAGACGAACATACTTGCATTCACTGTCTGACGTGTACCAGAATTAAATTTGATCGTTTAGTATGCTAAAGAAAGTTTGACGTGCCTGAGGTGCAATCGCGTTTTTTTCCCTTCACGTTCCCAGTGGAACATAGGGCTTCAGGCTAGTGGCTTGAAGTTTCTGCAGCAGTGTTTAATTTTACAGGATGGAATCGCTAGCCTCATGCCCAATTTTTCCTCTTTACCAGCTTTTTTATTACTGGCTTGGCGAGGTAAAGGAGTGAGTCGGCCGGGGATCAAACCCCGGAGCATGCGTATGGTCGGCGAGCGTCGTAACCTCTGTGCCACCGACGCGCAATCGCTTTACGTATCCTAATATTTTTCTCTGAGAAGAGTCCAGTGTAAGACTCCCAATTGTTTCTCAGGTTTGGTAGTTTTCCCAAAAATAGACGGGGTTTTAATGCTCACTGGCGTATTGTATTTACTTCTGTAGGACCTCACAAAAATTGGTCCGAGTTATGATCGATTTCGTGCTCTTACAAGCCAGTTGCGGACAAATATTACTAAACTGGGTGTCCCGTCCGCAAACATTCCCACCAGTGTGTCTCAAAATCAGTCTTCGGTGTCGGGTGCTGTTTCCGATACTGCAGATCAGTTCCTGCATCATTCGTCAGCTGGCAACCAGTTTCCTTTTAGTGGTGAAATTGATGGTGTGGATCAACCTGCTTGGCGTAAACGCAGATCTCCGGGTAATAGTTTATTCAGTGGAATGGGTAGTTTTTCTGTATCATCTTTTATGCCTGGCACGTCTTCAGAAGGCAAAATTTCGGGGAGTATGTCTACTACTGAAGTTTCAACGTTCCCTGGTATGAGAGCTTCTGCGTCATCCAATGAAGTAAACAATGCTTCTCCAAGTGGCTTGGTGCGTTCAACTCGCCGAGCCACTTTAACGTCTGTTCT